TATATATATATATATATACATATGACGCAATGTGGTGGATTCAGGCGCTTGTTAATTATTGGGCATATGGAGTTATTGGTATCACCTTAAACCTCTCTGTGGGTGGTTGGCGGGTGCTCTGGTGTGGTTTGCTCCTTCTTTCCTATCAAACATCTATCGTCTTTATCTCCCCTCCTTTTTTGTGTTTGTTACTCTCTTGTAACAACTCTAATCTTCAGCACTTATATGACCTTATTGTGTTGCAAGTGCCGTAAAACCTTTACGAAAACTAAAACTAAAAGCCTGTTTATTTGCCTTACTTTTAAAGAAACAAGCATCCAGTTATCTTGGATACAAGTCGAGATATTTGTCATTGAAGGAGATGGGGGTCGGCTAGTTTCAGAGGTAAAATAAGCGAGAAAATGGCTGCCAAAGTTTAGTTATTTCCATAGCTTGACAGTCCGTGGAAACTTAAAATTTAAATTTTTTGTGTGACTTTAATTAACGTTTTCATGTAAAATCCACTCAGAAAGATGTTCTTTAATGGGCATAAAAGATGTTGAGCCAACCCCCCCCCCCCCAAAAAAAAAAAAAAAAAAATTGATGAAAATTCCCAAACCTGCTGAAAAATGCGTTTTTTCAATTTCATCATTCTAACAAGCGTCTGATTTCACCACGCTGCATCACATTTATACATAAATTTAAATCTTTCTCATGTCCAAATTAATTGTTAAAGAGGCAGGATTTATCCAGACCATCACATACATAATACAACATGATACAACATGATACAAGGCATACCACTCAATCACAACAACATGATACAAGGTATACCACTCAATCACAACATGATACAAGGTATACCACTTACTCACAACATGGTACAAGGTATACCACTTAATCACAACATGATACAAGGTATACCACTCAATCACAACAACATGACACAAGGTATACCACTCAATCACAACATGATACAAGGTATACCGCTCAATCACAACCTATTGTTGGGCACAGTATCTATTCTGATTTGTCTCCGACAGAAATAGACCAATCAAAATGCTTTGTGTCTCAAGACCAAGTAAAATACTCGGGAGCGGGGTTACAAGGGGGCATAACCTATATTTTGAAGTTAGGTTCGAAATTTTCTGGAAAATAATAGATTTGCGACAGTTTTAGCGGCTATATGTGTGATCTGCAACAAACAATACTCAGTTTGACACCCCAAAGCAGTGCATCTGTGTGCAGGAGTACGTCTCCGAATAGTTCCTGGATGCTCGCCGGAGACGTCTCTGAATATCTACTGCCATTGTTCATTGGATTGACTTTATCTAGATATATTTGGTGCAGTCATGTCCCCAATAAGTTGAGTTCGTTTCAACCCCAAAAATGTTCACTTCGTTGTTTTGACATTTTCAAAATTTGGAGCGTGCTATTTTCGAGGAAGGCTCTCCAGGATGTATTCGGAGCACAGAATTCAAGATCCTTCGTAATTTGAAAGCAATAAAGAGGAACAGATTTTATGCAGTCTTCAGTCTCCTCAATGCTAATATATTTTCCAGTTCATAGAACTGGGATCTTGCTATTAATAACAAAAATAATAATAATAATAACAATAAAAATAACAATAATATAATATTTACTGCAAAATCGTCAGCGTCGTTTCACATGCGTCAAAATCAGTCTTGTTGTCATAAGTTTGAAGAAAATTGAAGAAAAATCGTGCTAGCTTGAATCGATGCTGTGACCTGAGCCCTGCTGTCTTTTCACTAACGAGCAGGAGAGAAAGAAACAAACAGATAAAACAACAAGCATCATCCAGTGCCAGATCTGCGGCAGACATCGGCGATCATGGTTCTCCTTCCCTTCCTTTGCTCGGATGCTCTTAAAAAAGCTACGTGATCTTTCCCCGTTACCCATTTGTTTAGGTTCCCTAAGTAGGTTGCTCTGGGCCTACCCCTGCCTCGTTGGCCTTCAATTTTGCCAGTGAGAGCTAGATGTTCACGATTTTTTTGTCAATTCAAGTGTCCCGACACACCAATAAACAAGAAAAACAAACACACCAATAAACAAGAAAAACAAACACACCAATAAACAAGAAAAACAAACACACCAATAAACAAGAAAAA